TTTATTATACCAGTTATTATACTTTTCCTAGAAAAAATATCTATTTTTATAGTATGTGTTATTAAAGGAGAATTTATTAAATGATCTGGAACTATCTAAGTTATGAGACCAGTTCTAGGATTAGGTCTTGAGATCTGATTCTGGGATCGGGTCCGATTCTTTTTAGGATCAGACTGGATCAAACTTTTAACATTCCTACTCCGGTGCCATGTCCTGTACAAAAATGTATATATGGTGAGTGGGTAGCGGTGATTACTTTGGTACAGTAACTTATTGTGTTGAACGTTGGAGTTCTTATTCTGGAATCACAATAAAAGCCCAGAAAGAAGTGAAGACAACTCATTGAGTTATGCAAATCAACACTTCTATTACAATTAATTAACACTACGCATTTCTTATGTACAGTATTAGCTAAAAAAAAATGATCATATAATGAAATTGCTAATGCTAAAGACAATAATGGTCCATTTTAATTCCGTAATCGTCAATCATATTCTGGCACGAATCGTTATTTACCCATGTTTTGCTTATTAACCGTTATTTTTATTAACTATTTCTACTTCCAGCTATCCGGTATTCGATTAATGTTTTGTGGCAGTTACATGTAATTAACGTTGTAATTGTAGCCGTGTGATTGTGTTTGGAGGTATTGTATTAACGCTGTTTTTCGTTTAGTATTAATCAACTTATGCATAACGTCATATAAACCGCTCTAAAATTCGATTGTTATTCTTGGATTGTGGATTTTCGTATATAAGTGAGGTGATTTTAGTATTATCTTCTTTTAAATAAAAAAAAGCGAAGTATCGGTACGTACATGTATCAATACACAATCTAAATCTAGCAAGCCTTAATAAACAATCGAATTATTTTAATATACAATCGAACAATCGAGTAATTTTATTAGTCTTACTGCACGATTACGAAATAATCTAACGATATTTATGCATTGAACCGTTTGCATAGCAATATATTATCTTTTTTCTGTTCGTAGATGCTTGTTGAATATTAATCATATCGATATTTAATTTATTGTCGCGGCTAGATCATAATTAGGCGGTTTTCCTGCAACAATGGGTTGGGGGAGAGTAAGTAAACAATGATGTTCGTTAGTTTCTAATACCTGTGCTGATATAATGGTCGAGAGGGGTTCAGAAGAGAAGCTGGCTTGTTGGAGTTCTATATTTTATGCGACGGGGTTATCTATCGATATTATCTTTAATATCTATTAACTTCCAATTTTTGCTTTTTTCTAGCTAAAAGCCTTAAACTATTCAAAAATAAAGTGCCTTCAATCAATCAATTTTTCATTAATGATATCAATGTCTAATTGCTGCCTTTTTTGAATCAAAGGTCCTAACCACAATCAATTGCGATGATTTTTTAAGTCTAAATTAATTGGAGAGGAATTGTACGCAATTAATTCTGATGTCCTTGGGGCTTTATATATATTTTTTGGATTACATTGTGAGACATTATTCTAGAACTTAATGTATAACGTATATTATTGTTTAGGAGAGAATTTAGGATATAATTAAGAATTGATTAAAAATAGAAACAGGAAGAGATAAGAATAGAATTTGAAATATAACACCGCATCTAGATCGATTGTAATGCACACATAGAGTTTGAAATAGAATTTTGGATAGAATAAAGGGGGATCAATGAAATTGAGCCGGACAAGCCTTACCAAAAATCATGAGACTGGTGAAATTAGCTCTAACCCGGTAGATTTAAATATTCTTATGATACTTTAACTATAATCACATTTTCTGTTATTTGGTGCATAACATCTAAAGTCATCAAACATTTGTATTTTATAAAATGTATAACTTCTTTACTAAGAAGTAAATACGAAATTTAATCCGCGAAATGCTCAGAAAAAATCTATTCTATCCTATTCACGGATTAAATTTTGTATTTACTTCTTAGTAAAGAAGTTTATACATTTATACAAGCATGTGATGACTTTAGATGCTATGCATTCTAGCACAGTGATGGTAAATGACTTTAAATGATCCAAATGACTCCGATGACAAATGACCAATGACTAGTCATTTTAAAAGGTCGAATGACCTAACTGATCATTTCAAAGGTCAAGTGATCTCACAATCGTCTTTTATCCAATAAAATTAAAATTAAACTGTGATGTCATTATAAAAATGACCCACTGAAACTCTATTGGTTGAAAAATAAATCACATGACAAGTGACCTAATTACTAATGACCTAGGTCGTTTTGATGTCATTTAAGGTCATTTACCATCACTGCCATAGCATGTTTAATTTGTTAGATTATAATTGAAAATATTTGGTTTCTCACTCTTAATCAAAATTAATCTTTGGAATTTCTTCTTCGTCAGTTTCTTTAACTGTTTCAAAGATGGTATTGTTGATAAAACAGATTAAATGGATGAAAAAATTAACTTTATTTTAAAAATCTTAAGATGATATCAATACACGTATTATATTATTTTTGCTTCTAATCGAATGGACCCAATTCCTTATCGTACTCACTTCCAATTGCACGTGAACCTTCGACATTTGGATGAGAGTTATTATGTTTATTGCACGAATTAGTGTAAAGACATACTCTCCTTTTGAATTCAGCAGGATCGCCATTTGTACCAAAAACAGATCTGATATCTGCTACTCTGAAACCGTTCTCACTGTAAATCTTGACTAAAAGATCATCTAAATCATTCGTGGAACGCTGAAAGTACGTAGAAGCTGCGTATCGTACACCCTCCCCTCCTGCTTCCTTTAACTTGGGAATTATTATATCGGTTAAATTATTTGATATATTCTTTAATATTTTTGAAAAACATCCATCAATGTCCTTATCATTGCGGTATCTATGGAAATCATTTACTCCAATATTAATTGTAACAAACTTCACTAAGCCTCTATTCGATTTCATAAAATTTATGACTTGATCTAATTGACTATACTTCGGGTTCTCCTGATTACATTTGTCAAGACTAACAATATCATCACTTGTTGCGCCACTGCACCCATATTTTATTAATTTTAAATTATTATAATCCTTCTTTAACAGTAACAGTTCATACAATGCGTCTGCGTACGAATAAGCTGGAGTAATCGTTTCATTAGGAGCGATAGGCTTAACGCCCGCAGCAAACGAATCTCCTAATGATAGATAATATATGTTATCAGAAGATGCGGTTGGTCTAGAAGGTGCGGTTGATCCAAAAGGTAAGCATAGTAATAACAATACGACGAAGGATAAAAAAGATTTTTCTGTTGACATCCTCTAAGTTAAATTTTAAAAAACCAAGAACGATAGAGACAGAAGGATTTTTCCCTCCAATTAAATACACGTAGTGATAAGACAAGACCATTACCTAAATTGATCAATTTGTCTTATTTTATTACATTTCTACGTAGTATGAATATTATATCTTAATTCGGGAAATCTTGACTAATATGGTCTCATGTGATTGTAGAATTCGTCATAATACATGTACATGTATTCCTGATTCGGGAAATCAAGATTAATATGTTATCGTGTAACAATGCGGAGTTCGAATAGGAGTTCCGTTTTTATAGTCATTCTTTTAATTAAATATTTATTAGCTTATGATATATATTCTTTTTAAATTAACAAAATTGTATAAAGAGAAGCTTCTCACTGAAACAAAAAAAAAAGAGAAGCTCATATCAAATGAACCAATAAAGATAAAGATTGTTAATAAAACATCTCTTATTTGCCTTTGATTGACTTCAGAAGTTTGCGTACAAACTTTACAGTATAAGACCTCTGCTCTAAATAAGCCATAATTTTGAACTTGATTAAACTGTGAACTGATTTGATTATTGATCTTATAACAGGCCATATCAATAAGTCCTGTGAATTATCATTAACGATTGATTTTTAAATTTGGGCAGTCTCAATAAGACCTGACGTTTTATTTTATTTCATTTTATTTCCTGTTTTAATTTTTTCTTGAAGGCAAACTCAATAAGCCCTTCGGTTATTATTATCAATTGAACCTTTCTTAATTCTTATTATTGCGTTGGTCAGTTTGCGTACAAGCTGCCACAAAAGACCTTTAGAACCATAAAGAAAACCCTTTATTGCGTAAATCATTCAGTCTAACTCCCAACTGACGGTCACAATCTTTTTATTTATTTCTTAATCTTTTATTTATAACGTGACAGTATGGTTTATATCTTCTTAATTAGGAAGTAAATCTAAATTTCATCCGTTAGAATGATGAATAAACTTTTCTTGATTATTCTAACGGATTACATCCCTTCCTGATTAAACTTTAAAACATACGTACAATTTATTGTTGACTGCACCACCATAGTTGGCAGAAAATTAAAAATTTTTTTGCCTGGATCAGCATTAATGAGCAGAAATTAGTTACACGATGTTCGAGAACAACTTTCTAAAGATGTTACTGATCTTACACTATGTAAGAAAATAGAAAGGGCTCATGAAAACATAGAACGAATAAGGTCATATTCTGTATTGATGATTTCCAAATTAAGTTGGGATAGGAATCGATTCTCAACCCAGAATTGATTTCAAAGTCGATTGATTATTTCGATTACTCGATACTACAGTGGCTCACACATGTAACCGAACACGAAAATTAACTTTCTAGCATTTTTATTTCCATGACTATTAGTTTG